CCCTGCCCCCTTCCCCAGCCCCTTCCCTGACCATGACCACTTCCCCAGCCACTTCCCTGACCATGACCCCTTCCCCAGCCACTTCCCCAACCACTTCCCTGACCATGACCACTTCCCCGGACACTACCCCAACCACTTCCCCAGCCATGACCACTTCCCCGACCACTTGCCTGACCATGACCACTTTCCTGACCACTTCCCTGACCATGACCACTTCCCCAGCCACTTCCCTGACCACTTCCCCAGCCACTTCCCCAGCCATGACCACTTCCCTGATCACTTCCTTGACTACTTCCCCAGCCACTTCCCCAGCCATGACCACTTCCCCAGCCACTTCCCCAACCACTTCCACTTCCCCAACCACTTCCTTGACTAATTCCCTGACCACTTCCCCGAACAATTCCCCGGCCACTTCTCCGACCATGACCACTTGCCCAACCATGACCACTTTGCCGACCATTTCCTGGACCTCTTCCCGGACCATGTGGTTCACTGCATGCATGGCCACAGGTGGTTGGGCAACATTTCTGTGTGGCGGGACACTGGCCATCATGGAAACAGCTTTCAGCACATGCTCGAATCTTCGGTTGGGGACAGTGACCCGGCTTCACTGCATGGATACATTCCCCAACCACTTCCCCAGCCACTTCCCCAGCCATGACCACTTGCCCAGCCACTTCCCCAACCACTTCCCTGACCATGACCACTTCCCCAGCCACTTCCCCAGCCATGACCACTTCCCCAACCACTTCCTTGACTAATTCCCTGACCACTTCCCCGAACAATTCCCCGGCCACTTCTCCGACCATGACCACTTGCCCAACCATGACCACTTTGCCGACCATTTCCTGGACCTCTTCCCGGACCATGTGGTTCACTGCATGCATGGCCACAGGTGGTTGGGCAACATTTCTGTGTGGCGGGACACTGGCCATCATGGAAACAGCTTTCAGCACATGCTCGAATCTTCGGTTGGGGACAGTGACCCGGCTTCACTGCATGGATACAGATAGACGGTTTTAGTCCATGCATGACTGTATGCCACTTCAATATACAGCACGAAACACTCAAAGCAGAAATAGCAAGTTTTAAATTATATTCCAAGTATTATTCCTCTATTTTTGTAAAGTCATCCTGGGTTTAAAATGGTCCTAAGGGATGAATTCAAACCATAGATTGTAAAAAAAAAACAAAAAAAAACTGAAAGTGGGTGAAGCGGAGGTGCCTGGTTGCTGAAACCATGCCCGTTTATAGTGACAGCAGTGCTGCAGTGCAAAGACAAAACACAATAAATTTGGTTTTGGTCGAAAAGGAGTTATTGATAATTTTGGGACACATAGGACCTCCTTTATCATGTGTACAAGTATCTTGGAGAAAAGCCCCGGAGAAACCAAAGCAGAACACAGTATCATCAGTTACCACTCTTTGACTTTTAGATCGCTCAAATTAAGTTACGGTGCTCTGCATTAGTTTAGCCGTTTATCAATATTACTGTGCAGGTCTGGAGTTATACAGTATTCTGCCTTTGTTTTATGGTCCATTAAAGTCTGCCGCATTTAAATTACTGTGTGACTTGTGTACTTTCATACATCTGTTGGCACTTCTTTAGACAAATTAGATCACGATCTAACAAACTGCTCCATATAACAAACTGTAAACAAGCAACGACTAGATAACCTGGCAACAACTAATCATAAAAAAAAAAAATAATAATAATAATAATTTTTTTTTTTTTATAATACAGATGCCAGCTGTCAGTCTGGGGCTGCCCACTTTAGCACGTGCGGTGAGGAGTCGAATGCCACGACAGCACATCACATAAAATCAGTAATGGTTTGCAATTAAATCCATTTACTACCTTTTCTTTTAATCTCGATAAAAATCCATTGCAATGAACGTCATCGGAGAGGTTTAATTCACAATCATTGAGCATTATTCCGGCTGGCGTTCACATCAATCCACAAGTTGTTCTTATAGGTTAAGCTATTTTCATTCAGTTCAATGTAAAAAAAAATAAAAAAATAGTCCAAGTATGTCTTGCATTCTTTAATTTATTTGTTAGCGAACACTGCAAATAAATTAGTTGCAAAACGGGATCCACTCACATTTAACTTTGTCTGGTTGTTACGGTCAGAAAAAATAAATAAAATTTGAAACCACATTACTATAGGTTATAGCCTAGCCAATGATAACAAGATTTTATACAGATGTTACTATAATGATTCTGTAAGTGGCGATTCAGCACACAAATATTGTATATAATGTTACTGCCGTTTGCCTTGGCGTGACATCACTTTTTGCAGACAGTGCAAAGGCAGTACCTACAATAACTTCCAAATAAATTAAAAAATCAAGTTTGAGATCATTTTCATTAAATTCCTACCCTTAATTCATTTCTGAATAAGCAAAAGTCTTCAAAGCCATTTTTCTAAGTTTCACACTATGGAGCAGAGCGGCAGTCCACCCGTCACTCAAGTGGCCACGCCCTTAATTTTGCAGAACTTTAAGGCTTAATTTAAGGCTTAAGGCATTAAGGCTCCCTAGCTTCCGGCTTCGCTACCGTTCGGACGTTCTTGCATACTGCTCTGCACTTTGCTCCCTATTTTTGTACTTTTCTCAGATTTTTCTAAGATTTTTACTTCAGCACAGTGCTCAAACAACATATTTTTGGCACAAACACAAACTAAACTCTCTGGGACTGGAATAATACCACGAAAAAGGAAGACTTTTGCCTCCCATTGCCAGCAGCTTACATTCCGGAGAAGGGAAAACACAGCTGCACACATTCAAACAGAAGAGAAAGAAAATGCCTCCTTTTGATTCTACTTGCTGCATGAACTACTGCAAACTTTTACAAAGGATTGCAGTTCTTGAAAAAGTTACTTGCTGGACTTCGTCATCATGGATCCCCTCAGCATACAGCCGGTGAGTCCCATAAATCTAGTAAATCTCAACAGTTTATACCAAGTGTAGAGGAACAAGCCGAAACTGATTGTCACACTAATCGATGGCACAAACAGGGAGCGAGACCCAAAGGCAGTAGAGACGTCAGATTGTCACGAGTTTATCGTATTGCAGCCGTAGCATCCTCTACCCCAGATTCGGCTATGACAAGGCTTATGAATACTGGTTTTCTACCACCCCCTACACATCTTGAGAACAGACTTGAAGCATTAATGAATGCGGGTGAGGAATCCCCAAATGTGATTAAACATGGACCGCATCAGCCAGCAGCTAACATCACTACTAATAGGCACTCAAGGTCGAGCAGACAGCGGCTTTCAGCTCGGAGTGCAGCCGAGCCCAGGACTCTGATAGTGGGCGACTCCATTATCAGAAACATCAGTAGCAGAAATTCAGCAACTTTCTGCTTTCCTCAAGCAACAGTTTCTGATTTGAACGCTTTGCTCCCTATTTCTGTACTTTTCTTTGATTTTTCTAAGATTTTTACTTCAGCAGATCAGCACAGTGCTCAAACAACATATTTTTGGCACAAACACTAAAACTAAAAACTCTCTGGGACTGGAATAATACCACGAAAAAGAATACTTTTGCCTCCCACTGCCAGCAGCTTACATTCCGGAGAAGGGAAAACACAGCTGCACACATTCAAACAGAAGAGAAAGAAAATGCCTCCTTTTGATTCTACTTGCTGCATGAACTACTGCAAACTTTTACAAAGGATTGCAGTTCTTGAAAAAGTTACTTGCTGGACTTCGTCATCATGGATCCCCTCAGCATACAGCCGGTGAGTCCCATGAACCTAGTCAATCTCAACAGTTTATACCAAGTGTAGAGAAACAAGCCGAAACTGATTGTCACACTAATCGATGGCACAAACAGGGAGCGAGACCCAAAGGCAGTAGAGACATCAGATTGTCATGAGTTTCTCGTATTGCTACCGTAGCATCCTCTACCCCAGATTCGGCTATGACAAGGCTTATGAATACTGGTTTTCTACCACCCCCTACACATCTTGAGAACAGACTTGAAGCATTAATGAATGCGGGTGAGGAATCCCCAAATGTGATTAAACATGGACCGCATCAGCCAGCAGCTAACATCACTACTAATAGGCACTCAAGGTCGAGCAGACAGCGGCTTTCAGCTCGGAGTGCAGCCGAGCCCAGGACTCTGATAGTGGGCGACTCCATTATCAGAAACCTCAGTAGCAGAAATTCAGCAACTTTCTGCTTTCCTCAAGCAACAGTTTCTGATTTGAACAAGGAACTTGGGAAAATTCTAATGAAGCACAAGACTGTAAATCGAATCATCATCATCCATGTGGGGAAGACTGATATTCGGAAAGAGCTGTCAGAACTCTAAGGACTTCAGTGAATTCTTTGAAACACTTCGAAGACTCAAAGTTCAGTCATTCATCAGTGGACCACTCCCAGCAAGGGGAACTAATATGTATTCACGTTTGCTTGGGCTGAACACATGGCTACAAAGAATCTGCAAATTAAAAGGAGTCAATTTCATCGACAACTTCAATCTTTTCTGGGGCCATAGACAACGGTTTAAACTGAAACAAACTTGGTGCAAGAGTGCTAAGGACAACATCTACTTCTCCATCCGTCATCCTTCAGTAGTGTGCCAAACTACGCAACCTGAATGGCACACACACACACACACACCTGGACAGAGTATGAGCGATGACAGGACTTCAAATCAGTTTCCAAGTCATCATGTGGTTGACATACCACAAGGACACTGATAACACCATGCAGCCACAACAAGCCCTGCTCATAGACACCATCCCGGCTGAGCCCTGCCCACAGAGCTCATCACAGACAGACTGTGACATATCAGAACAGCTCCAAGACTCAGCATCCAAGGACGACTTTCTGGAAAACAGCCAGGGAAGCCAGGACAACATATTTCAGCCACCGGAAACAACAGAGCCACAGCCCTGCTCACCAGACACATTATCCCTCTCTCCAACATCTCCACTTCTAAGCTTCTCACAGAAAAATGGAGGAACTGGTTTATGCTGGGACCAAACTCTCCCCCCCTCATTCGCTGCAAGCCCCCAGATATAAACAAAAAAAAAAAAGAAAAGAAAAAAAAAAAACCGGCGGGCCCCCACACCTTCAAACCCTTTGG